CACTGTCACCACTTCTGAACACCACTTGTGAGAACGGGGCTTCTCCACCCCCAGCTCATGTCAGGACTGGCCCTCACCAATAAAGGTTAAAGAAGACGGAAACTAGGCAACTGAAAATATCGTGAAGACGGGTGCGTATTTATTTACAGTGCGGAAGTGAGCATACAAAAATATGAGAAACAAAAAACTGAATAAACGCAAAAGAAAACCGGCCTCAATCAGGCAACACAAAATATAAACTATAACAAAGACTTTAAATACAAACTTCCTTGCACTTACTTTTCCCTTAAACACAGTCTCGCAGCAAACGTGTGTTCAGCTCACCCTCTCTCACTAGAATGAAAAAGCCCTGCCCTTTTAAAAGGCTTACAATCTCCAACTTACATCTAATTGGCTCAGAAATCAACCAATAGGAAAATAATGTTACAAAAAGTATTAAAAACACACTTTTAAATCCCCATACAAAATATCATAATATTCCCAAACCAACAATATAAATACCAGAAATGACACAGACAATATTTACACTCATACATGTTTGCAATCCATCAATACAATAATATTTTCCCCAAAACATTCAACTTCCGGGTGCCAAAAGCTCTCTCCACTGCCAGATCAGTGTATAAGAACTTTGGTTCCGAGAGGCTCTGGTTTCCTCCCGGACCTGATTGTTGACGCACCAGAATGTGAGTAGAGCGGAATGTTTGAATGTAACGTGGGGGTTATTGCAATGCGTGTGGATTACGGTGTCGAGACAACGGGTACCGCGCTGCTCGCTAAGATGGTGAGTAACTGAATGTTCGGACCGAATGTACATACTATTTTGCGTGTGTGTCATCTCGCGCTAGCCGCGGTAAAGAGGAAACTTGTAATGAACAAATGTTTGGCAGGCTACAGGTGCTACGTGCGCATGCGCATGTGTGTGTGTGTGAATGAGAGTGTCTGTGAGTGTCGGCGAGTTGAGTGTAGGTAGGTAGTGGCGTTTCTGTGAAAATGTAGTTATGATGTAATTACCATCCCTGGTCATTTTCACAATATCGATACCTTTATCGATACTCCTTATCGATCTGAGTCTTTATCGATACCACTATCGATACTTTTCTGTTATTTGGTGGAAAGACGATGCAGCAAAATTTTTTTAACAGAACTGGTATTGCTTTTATTGCTTAACAAGTGAGCATAACAAAAACGTTTCTAGCCTTCAATAAACGTGGCTAATGTAATAGGCCACTTCGAAATGACATAAAACTAACTAGAATATATTTTCACAATTGTTGGTTAATGTATTGTCTACTGTCACTTTTCATCATGTTTTTAGTGATTAGGAAAATATTTAACAAATAAATAATTGTATTTTAAATTAAATGTAATTTTTAATAAATGTTGGCATCAGTAGTTTAATTCTGTATTCTAAAATAGTTAGAGCAATATACAACTGTATTACTCATGTTTCTCGCCAAAAACAAAATTTCCCGTTTTCTTTACGTTACACTTGAACGCATCATGATAACCTAATTGTCGTTTTACTGAGCCAATCTGAACACATCATCACGCAGCACGTCTGAAACTTTATTTACTTTTCAAGCTAACTAGCTTGTATGCTTCCAATTACAAGACGGATTTCACAATAAATATTTTTAACTGACCGGACAGGCTACAAAGTCTGTGTGCGCGCTTACCAGTGCTACTCTGAGTGGATGATTAAGACGGGCCCGACTGCGGCGGCAGGAGGAGGAGTCTTTTCCGTTCAGCCATTCTCGAGTCGCGAGCAAAGTTAAGTGCCAGACTTCACTTGTTTTACTTTTAATATCTGTTTGCTTACAATTTCATTCCAAAATATTGGTGTACATGCTGCAGTGATTGACGTCACGACTTCCGGGTTGGAGGGCGCTTGAAAAGTGATCAGAATCTTTTCCGATTTTCTCTTAAATGTGAAAAAATAAATAAAAAAACGGTGGTATATTTATTTGTTCATATTTTGCTATTTATATATACGTAAGGTTAAGTCAAACTGACGGACGCTTCATAACCGGTTTAATTCGCTTTTTTTTCTAATTCTATGATTAATGGGAAGTAAGCCTAAGGGCGACGCTAGAGGGCGCCCCCAACACATTTGTCGCCCTAGGCAATTGACTAGCTCGCCTATAGCAATCGCCGGCCCTGCTGGGGGGTGTCTGGTCCTTGTGCGGGGTGGGGGACCAGCCCAAGAGCAGGAACGAGATGGGTTAGTGTGGCGGTGTCACCGCTCCCCGCCTCCCCATCCGGATTTTAGGTTCACCTATTGGGTCATCCGATAATCCCGAGACCGACCACCGATGCTACTGGGTCCTTGGTCCTGGGATTATTGGATGTGAGTGTTATGTGTGAATGTGCGTCCACGTTTTGTTTTTTTGCTCATCTTCACAGAGACTGTGTGGTGTGAGTGGGGGCATGAGGGCGGGAAGGTTTTTTTTTTTGTCAGGTTGGGGTCTGAACTGCTCCCTCTCCCAAGCACATCTCAAGTCTATGCCAAGTGCGGAGCCCATTTCCCCATCCTGCTCTCGCTGGATTCACTTCAAGGTGGCTGGCTGCCAGCAAAGCTCGCAAACTAGTCCCCGCGGCTCCGGCATTGTGGTGGCTGGGGGGCTTCCTCGGGGCTGTCTCTCCTCCTCCCTTGGTGGGGGTTGGATTTCCTGGGCCGGCCCCTCCTTGACGCCACCACTCTTGTGGTCCATTTGGGCGTCTTGGGCTTTGGGTCTCCCGGAGCTGGACTCAGTGCTCTGGGGGGGCGCCTTTTCGGCTCTCCACAACCACTATTGAGCATTTTTCCTTTGGATAAACTTTACATGCACAAGTGCACAAACAACTACAGGTGCTTGGTTCCTGGTACTCAGAGATTCACTTCCATATAGAAAAGCCCACATTCTTATCTTCAGGTAACACAGAATACATGTCAGATTAAATAATACTACTTTAGCGATAGATTCAAGGTGTTACTTTATTGTATGTCTTGTACCATGTCCATTGGTTGTGCTGTTCTTTTTACATCTCTTTGCAGGTGATGAAGCAGACTGAGGATGTTTGATCGTTATCTCCCCTTTTATCTCCCCTTTGTTTAATCTTTTCTCCTTTTTTTCTGTTTTTCCTTTACTGTTCTACTTACATTGCAGTGTACATATAAGCTGTAAAACTCCCTGCATAATTATAATAAAGCAATTTTTATGCATAAATTAAGCGGAACACTATGGCGATAGCTGTACTGCTCCATTTGTAAAATTAAAATCCTTTGGGCTTTTTTTTTTGGCATCAAGACAATTATTCTTATTGCCACATCGCCAGAAAACTCCATGCAGAAAGAGCCTGGAGCTGATTGGACCAAGGACCTACTTGCTGCAGGACAAGAGGGCTAAAAAGCTGATGTCTTTAAGATGAATTTTATAACAACAAGTTTGATTTATATAGTTTTTCATTACATTATATATACATGAAACACATCCATTACACATAAATAGAATTTACAAGTTTTTTAATGCTTGAATTGTATCAGGAAAGCAAGAAATTTAAAACAGAACCATTTCTGTGAGATGAACAACCCCAACACCTTTTTTGGTGGTTGGAATCAGAGTGAATCACATTTCTGTTCTGATGGCTCTTCAGTAACTCAGCGTTTCAACCTGATCACACGACAGAAATAAGTTCGTCAGTTCCTTTTTTCTCGAAGGGACCTAATAAATCTCTGCAAATTTTCTGTTTCTATCCCGGTTCTTCCCTTTTGGGAGTTCTTAGTTATCAGTTATTCTGTTTTCCTGATCTTTGGTTTATTTTCCATTATATTCAAGCAACAATACTCTCTAACCATGCGTCATGTTCAGTTAATAAATGCTCTGCAGAGGAGGTCCAGTGGGAAACAGTGAGTTTGAGTCTGGGGTTCAACTGTCTCTCCTTCCTGCAGGAATTGTATCGATAAATTGTGTATTTCAGTTCTTCTTAAGCAAAAACCTACATTTTATGAACCCGACATACACCACCTCTGCAGTCACTCACTGCTGGTTTGCTGTTGTTTAGTTGCTTCCTCATCTCTGGCTCCCCACGTGAGTTTTTCCTGACGTTTTCTTGTCTTTTGGTTTTTGCCTCAGTTCTGTCATTAAATCTACAAGATTCACCTCTGCCTCCTGCTCCTGCATTTGGGTTATCAAAACCCTCCACCCAATCGTGACAGTTTCATGTGCGGTGCTCTGAAATCTGTGGCCACCTGTTAAAACCAAACTAGCACAATGACATGGATCAGTGTAATTTTCCAAAAAGGAACGTTAGCATGTTTGTGCAGTTTGTTCTTTGATTGAAAATCAATCACTCTTTTTTTACTGTTGTTTTTTAATGAGTATAAATTACATAAGCTGAGACATATAGTCTGATTTTGTCAGGGTTTGGTTGTGGTTTGGAGGACCCAAATGCAGAGGCAGAGGCTGAGGTGAATACTTGTAGTTTTAATGATGAAAAATGGTTAACAAAGGCAGGAATCCAAAAATCCAACTAAAATGTAACTAAGACCAAAACCACGGAGACATCAAGGGAAATGCGCACAAGGAGCCAGGGAGAGACGAGGTGAGAGGACCACGACGACGACAGGACCAGCAACAACAAGGAACCAACAAAGAGTGAGAGCAGAGGGAGAGCATAAATAGCTGACAGAGACAAAGGGAGGGCTAACGAGCTGACAAGGAACAGGTGTGAGAGGAGACAACGAGGGAGCCAAGGGGAAAGGAACACACACACAAGAGGGCAACAGAGGACAACAGAAAACATGAGAACTAACAAATCTCGAAATTACAACAAAATAGGAATTAAACCAGTAAAACTAGAAAACAAGGAGCAAAGTAAAGCACAACATAACCAAAACCATGACAGATTTATTCTCCGGAAGGTTACTTGAAAAGGCTTTTTAATCTAACAAAAGTTGGAAGGGAATAATAACATGTCACTGCAGTAAAATCTGTAAAAAACAAACAATAAGCACAAACTGGACTTAATTTTTTTAATAATAGAAAATGATGGATATTTGGTTCATAATATGGCTACAGTAACAGATACTTGCAACAAAGAAAATTGGTAAAAATACAGAATAAAAAGAATCCACTTGCTCTTAAGGGTTAGTAGTAGATACATACATAATGTTATCAGGATATTTTTAACACCCAGGCTTGTATTGAGGAATGATTAAGAAGCAACGACAAAGAGGGAGGTTTGGATGATTCCTAATAAACAGAATAACAAGAAATGCATTAATTACAAGGTTTTATCCACCTTCAAAAAAAATTATAAAATAAAATAATATAATAATAACATTTATATTTCATTTATAAAAGATCAAATTTAATCAGAAGCTTTTACCTTTTATTTCACATCATGTCACAGATGCACCCCATGTTTTACACAAGAATATAAGATTTGGTGTATTTCTGCAATATAGCAAAGACAAGCTGATGAAACGTCACAATCACCATTGTTAATTTTTAAAAGTCAGTCCACTGATCCAAATTTCTCTAAATTAATTTGCACAGTTTTTTTAGGGATTGAGTCATGAACACAGTAAAGCTGCAGAGCTTCTACCAATACTTTTCAAAAAGTCAAATTTTCTTTTAAATCTTTATATTTAATCAGTTTTTTTAAACTCCATTTGAAATGTCATGTTCAGTCTTGCTAACTGTATTTGAAATTGTTATGTGTTTTTCACCAATATTGAACCTGAAAAGCAGGTTTTGCTGCTGATTCTTCCCCTCTATGCCTGCATGGGGCCTAGTGTCTGCACAAACAGCTGAGCTAGAAGTAGGGTGCTGCTAAATTATACAAGGAATGGTTTTTACAAAATCAAAAGGGAAATATATCAAAGCTGAAATTAGCTTCATAGCTGTTAGTGGCACCATGCAAACAGACTGAATGTGACCTCAGGTCACTTCATTGATAAAAGAAACCGAATTAGAGTTGTTGTTCTGTTAGATCAGCGTAACTAGTTACTGGTTTGAAGTGCATATTATCATTATAATTTCTGGCCCCCTGATATATATGGGTTTTATATTTTATGTTCTTTGACAATTATACAAGTTTTGTATAACAAATGAAGCACTCTTATTACCTAAGCACTCTCATTATCTAAGTTTCTGTTTCCTTGAGACCATGATGTAATTTGTTGTTGGTTTCAGCGGCCCACGAGCCCAGGGTGGGTTCGGGGGGTGCCCGAAACATATTTTGGTTTCTGTAATCATGCGCTCCAGGCGTGAGAGGGAGCGATCACTTTTCCTGATTGGGTGAGAGATTTTTCTTTGAAGTCTGGCATAAATGACGGATGGCGGTTGGCACTGGCAGAGTCTGCTAGAGTTGCGTACGAACGCCTAGCTGGGCAGTTTGCTGCCCTGCCGGGGTCGACTGGCTCTCCGATCCTTTGTGTCACGGTAGGGGGACAATATAATTTGTATTCAGCACCGTGCCTTGATTGATGTGCTTACTTTGCTGTGTCCTGTGGCGGAATAAAACGACACATTTAAATTCTAGCAGACACAGTGTGTGTGTATCTGTATGTCATCTCTATTACCGACTCATCCCGATCCTGCCTAAATTTCATAATACACCCCCCGTTGGCCCCTGTCTAGAACCGGCAGCCATGGTGAGGAATGATGACACCGTGGTGAGGTGCACTGTATGCTGAAGTCCCATGAAAAACAGAAAGCACTACCGATGTTCAAGGCTACAAGATTGAAGGTATTGAAAATTGAAATTAAAAGACCAATACTGTGCTGTTTTGTGTTTAAGAAATTACTGTTAGTTAATAAACAGTTGTAGAGAATTTGCTGGCCTTAAGTGTGTATGTATGAGGCACGGTGCACCGTTGTACCCGGGGTGGGGGTGGGGTTTAAAGCATTTACCTGAAATTAGTTTTTGGACCTTGGGATGTCACCATACAGTGATATTTTTCTGAAAGCGCTGCTGCAGTGAAGTGTCTGCTTTTGGCACAGAGGCCGTGCTCCTCCATCAATAACTGATTCTGCAGAACCAAACATGGCTGGATGCAGACAGAAGCTTGTAAAACAGTTTAGATTGATCACTGGAATGGATTCTTTTTCTCCTCCATAGAATGCATTTGGAAGTGTGTTACTCTAATATTACTGATGTCCAGAGAATTACAATCCTTCTTTACAGTATCATAGCTCTTTTGCTTCTCAGTTTGAAGTTACAATCATTTAGCTGAAGCAAACATATAGGAATTATTCTCATAAACTTTTTAAGAAATTAGGTTGGTTCAATCAGCAGATGAGTAAGCTGGACAAAGTCGATCTCCTAGGCTAGCAGGAACCTTCATGACTTCACTTTGTCCATCATTTATATTCATTACGGGTGGAGGCAGGCTGACTGATAACCTGCAATGTTTGGAAGAGAGAGACAGTGAGTTAGGACATTCACTTCTTCAGCAACATGTCTTTTTCTTCAGATTTTACCCTTCTTTCAAAAGAGAAGAACTTTAACTTTGACAAAATAACAATAACATGATTTCTTAACATTGAATAGGAGTGAAACTCAGATCAGACTCATGCTAAGTTCAGACCGTAAGCAGCAGAGGCAACAGAGGCAGCAGGTTTACATGCAAAGTCAAAGGCTGACGCACATCAAGGTGCAGCTAAAGGTCCTGCAGCGCGTTTCGAGCAGTTGAAGCTGCGCCTCATAAGCTTCTGAGCATCTGACGTGTTGCTGCAGCAGCTGCTGGAGTTGGTAAAATTTAACTTTTGCTGCTGGACGCGCCACATCAACCAATCAGAGAAGCTGATCTGGGAGCTGAGAGTGAGACAGACACAGCTCTGATGATGCAGAGTGCTATAATCACTCCTCTGAAACTGTTTATTAACGCCTAAATTGACTTAAAATACCCAAACCTGCAGGAAAAACATGTTTGGTTTTATCATCCTGGTGCCTGCAGTTTGGATTACATACATGAAAAATGCCTTCCAGCTGCCGCGGCAAACCGCGAAGAGACTACTTTTTACCCACTGATCACAGCAAATATAGCTGCCATTGTTACAGGCAAAGAAAGGATAGGGTCGCTTCATCCGAAGCGCATCAGACCCACTTTCCCACCAAGCAGTTGGAGCAGCAAAGATATGCTTCAGCAGAGCGTCACAACTAAACTTGGACAAACATAAAAAATTAAGCGGTACACGCATTTTTTATGCTTCTGCTGCGTGCGGTCTGAACATAGCATCAGAGGATACTAATGGGAAACTTTATGACTTCTGAGGAAGGATGCCTGTATGTCCTGTCTGAAAATTATTTGTCACACTTTTGAGTAAACATCAACCTTTTTACAAACAAAAAATAAACACATTTTACCAGGAACTTTACTGATATCTGAATAATAGGAAAAAAAAACTCTCTTGTGATATTATGACTAATTTGTTGTAAAATGCAGCAGTTGAATGATATACAAATAGCTCCTGAACATATGAAGAGGATTAAACCAATGCCGGGATAAAGGTTAACATCCCAGCAGCTGTCCTTGTAGCACCAAACCTTGGTCACCTTCCTGACCAAAACAACCGATAGTTTGTTTTAAACACACAGTTATCACAGGTTTCCACTAAAAGAAGACTTCTTACTGAATACTGAAAGCTGTTTCTCTGTCTGAGCAGAAGCCAGCAGGAAACGGCAGAGATGGCTGTCTGGACCAGAGTGAAGAAGAGGAGAGATGACTTTATTCCCCTGTTGAACCTCTGCAGCAGAAAATAAAGAGAACAAAAAGGATCTTTGTGAGCTCAGCTTGCTTCATATCAATGCAGGAACAGTAATGGCTTTTTAATGAAGAATTACCAGTCTTCATTGCTGTAACAGGACGGACACTCCTCAATTCAAACCAACCTTTAGCTTGGCATAGATTAATGCCACCATCACAGCTTCGTGTGGTTCATATCTGGAAGATGAGGCATTATCTAAGGTAGCTATAGAATCTGAATCGGGTTTAGACTGTGTTTATACAGCTGAGCTTTCAGAGTTAGCAAAACTATCATTTTCATTTAAGCCTTCAACTTGTATGTTTGATCCATTTCCAACAAAGTTATTTCCGAAGTATTTCCTTTTGTCAGGCTCAGAGCAAGAAGAACGGAGAGACAGTTAGGTTTCACAAAACATTTATTTTAGACCTAACTTTAGTGAATAGTATCAGCATCTAAGGCAGGAACCTCTGCAGGGGGAGAACACAGGTCAGTGACCACGTATATCTGGCGGAGGATGATAAGGAAAACACTAACCTGATCTTAAAGTTCAATGCATGCCCAGAGGATGAGGTTGGTTCCAGCCGGTCGGCTGGCATAGAGACACAAGGGGGCGCCGCCCAGTGAGTCCCAGACACTGAAGTCCCAGAGGTCGGAGGACAGGAACGAGATCAGAACCAAGTAGAGGAAGGAAGGCAGGATAATCCAGAGAATGAAGCCTAAGCCAGTGTCGAGTAACCGCTCAAGAGCCAGGGCAAGGAGATTAGACATCCGAAGAAGTACCAAAGGGACAGTGTCAGGAATCGGTTTCAAGGTCGGAACACAGGCAGAATCCAGCGGGAGTCCGACGACAGGTTAGGCAAGCACAGCAGAACGGGGGCAGGCAGGCTCAGAGTTCCAGAGGCAGAAAAGGTCAGGATCAGGCAATCAGAAACACTCAGGTTTGAAAGAGAACCTCTCACCAAGAGCTCGACTAATCTGGTATTGATGACTGGTTGAGGGCCGGTTAACCAGAGCTGGGCGGATCACCAGCCCCACCAAGATCATGACACCTTTGATCTCCACCTTCATTTCAGATGTGATTAATCTATCCCTGTTATGGGATATGTACCAAAGGCTTTTAAGGTAGCTATTAAACATTTACTTAAGAAATAGTCTCTTGACCCAAATGACTTGCAGACAAAAACCTGGATGATTCTTAACTTTCTGCTCCTGAATGCAGATAAAACAGAAGTTATAGTCTTTGGCCCAGATCTTTCAAAATAAGCTGTTTAATCAGTCAGTTCATTCGATGATATTCAATTCATTTCGATGATAATGAAGATAATGAAGTGGAAAATATAAGAGTTATTCCCATATCATGTATTTGCTACTTCAAGGCTGGACTATTGTAATTCTTTACTATCAGGAAGTCCAGCAATTGTAGTTAAAAGCCTTCAGCTGATCCAAAATGCTGCAGCCAGAGTTCTGATGAAAATGAAAAAGAGAGATTATATCTCTCCTATCCTGGCTTCTCTTCATTGGCTTCCTGTTAAATCCAGAATAGAATTTGAAATCCTCCTTCTCACATATATAGGTATGCTGCTATAGGCTTAGACTTCTGGAGGACTTAGGGACCCTTTTCAAAATTCCACTTCATTCTATCTCTATTCTCCCACTCTGCAGAATCTGTTAGTTCAATCTCTAACGTTCTGCTCTCTCTGCTTTTTCTCATAGTAGCTTCATCTGGTCTGTTCCTGTTTGGCTGTGACTCAATCCTGGAGAGAAATATCAGCTGTGCTGCTGCCATCAACACATTTGTTTATAGATATTGGAGATCAGCCTGTTTTTCAGTGTAGTCCCGTTTCTCTGACTGTGACTAACTGGATGTGCTCTCTTCATCCTCTGACATGTGAGCTGGCTCAGAGCTCGTCTGCCTGGCTGTGTGTTTCCTGGAGTTTTTCCTCTGCATTGTTGCTACATGCATTCTTAGTGTGAGGGATTGCCTTTGAGTCAATGAGTCGATGCAATGGCTTTCCTTAGATAGAAAACTGAATCAACTTGACTGTATGATCTGGTGAACTGTAAAGTTCCTTGAGATGACGTGTAGTGAATCGGCTCTATAGAAATAAACTCCCTACAACGCCTAGGCATCCTCCTAATGAGGTGGACGATGATCTCCCGAGGGATCTCCTCCCAGACCTGAACTAAAGTATCCACCAACTCCAGGACAGTCTGTGGTGCAACGTGATGTTAGTGGATGGATTGAGACATAATGCCCCAGATGTACGCAATTACATTCAGGTCTGGGCAACGGGCAGGCCAGTCCATAGGTTCCTTGCCTTCATCTTGCAGGGACTGCAGAGACACTCCAGCCACATGAGGTCTAGCTTTGTCTTGCATTAGGAGGAATCCATGGCTAACCGCACCACCATATGGTCTCACATGGGGTCTGAGGATCTTATTTCAGTAGCTAATGAAAGTCATGCTACCTCTGGTGAGCAAATGGAGGGCTGTACAGCCTTTAATGAAATGCCATCCCACACCATTACTGGCTCAATGACAAACTGGCGATGTTGAAGGATGTTACTGGCAGCAAATCGCTCTCAAGGGTGTCTTCACACTGTGTCCGATCTTTCACATATCTTTGTCTTTAATCTGTGAAGAGTGGTAAATTTGCAGACATGCTTGGTGAATACCAAGCATCCTGCATGGTGTTTGGTTGTGAGCACATCCCCAATCTGTGGACGTTGGGCCCTCATACCATCCTCATGGAGTCAGTTTCTAACCTTTGCAGACACATGCACCTTTGTGCACAAAGGCAGAGGTAGCGGTCCTGCTGCTGGATTGTTGCCATCCTAGGGCCTCCTCCATGTCTCCTGGTGTATTGGCCTGGTAGGGTCTCCAACCTCTAGACGACGTGCTGACAGACAGAGCAAACCTTCACGCCACAGAGTCCGTCTCATGCTAACAACATTCAAAAGTGACCTAAGTATCAGCCAGAAAGCATGGGTACTGAGAAGTGGTCTGTGGTCTCCACCTGCAGAACCACTCATTTCAGTGTGTCATACTAATTGCAAATAGTTTCCTGATGTTTATTCCATTTAAACAACAGCAGGTGATATTGTCAATATATGTTTTGCTTTTTTTTTTTTATTTGAAGTGATTCTAATTCTTTTCTCACATCTTCTGATTTACAGAACCTTTTATTTCTGAGTTGTTCCAATGAGTTGGTTTTGCAGGGTTAATGTGGAAAAGTTGAAAGGTTTAAATGATCCGTGCTTTGAGATTCTTATGAAGTCCAAAGTGATCTGGTCAGAACAGGTTTTATTCCTGCTGCAGCTGCTGCCATTCATAGAGGTTTTGGTTCTTGTAGGGTCAGTACCGGCACTTTTGGTAGCTTTGGCTGAAATCTCTGCTTACTTGACATGTATTAATAATAATTTAAAACCTGTTAGCCGTGACATGATTTCAATTTCCTGGTTGTGCCATCAAATACATTTCACATAAAAATATATTAATTTCAAAAACACTATAGTTAACCACTCAACAAGTAATTAAACATCAAACAAGAACAATAAAAGAGAAATCACAAAAGGAGCAAAAACATTAAATTATGAGCGGATACCAACCGTTAAGTAGTACTGGGGGTCACAGGGGAATTCGGTTTTGTTGCAGGCAAACTGCGGATATCTGCCCAGGTCCACACAGTAGATGATGACAGCCACCACTGACACCACCAAAGTGGCCACGCTCGCTATCAGACACACCTGCAACTGGAAAAGCATTTGACACTTTTTTCTCACATCACTTTAGTTGGAAGTACAGAAACGACGATGATGACAAATCTTGTTGTCTAGACTCAGATCTTTCGGTCCCTCTGGAAATAATAACAATAATTTCTTTTGTAAAGTTATGTGAAAAATAAGGGATTTAGTTTAGTACACTGAAGCACAGCATTGATAAAGGGAGCTCTGATCATGTTAACTAATAATACTGGATGGTCAGAATGTGGGGGTGATCTCAGGTATCTGGAACAGGACAAATAAAATAATCTTACTGCTGCCTTGAAAAATTCAGCAAAGATCAGGAGATTTACACATTCTCTTGCATCCATGTTGGATATTTTAAAGTTTCTTTTCTGGATTACAGTTTTTCCAAATTGTAACACTTTTTTTTTCAGATTTTCATTTAGAAAACATGTTCTTTCCTTGCTAAATAATGGGTATTTTGGAATACATAAGGACATCAGAAAGCATTACTGCATCTCAGCTCTACGATTCATGTTCACATAATCTTTTAGCTGTCATGAACGCTTGGATAAGACTTACGAACTTCATGGTGCAGATTCTGTCCAAAATCATGGCAATCGATCCTGCTGCAATGAACTGTGAACACAGACCAAAGAGGACAAGCAGGTGATCCATCAGGTCGCCTGTTGATCCAGCATCCGCACAAACACACTGACTTTAATCTTAATGTTGTACTTTCATCAGCTGTGAGTAGATAATCATTGTAATTAACAGAAAGGAAACATAATCTATACAATCGCTTACTGACATAAACAGTACATCACTGTACAGTCATGGCCATTATATTTTCACATGTTCTGATGCCCTCTGGTTTCCATGTTTGCATGTCAGATATTGTCATCACATACAGAAATACAATTGCAATCATATTATAAGTAACAAAAGCTTTTAATGACAGTGAGAATGAGTTAATGCAGCAAGTCAATATTTGCAGTGTTGACCCCTCTTCTTCAGGACCTCTGTAATTCTCCCTGGCTGCTCTCAATCAACTTCTGGACCAAATCCTGACTGATAGCAGTCCATTCTTGCACAATCAATGCTTGCATTTAGTCAGAATTCCTAGGTTTTCGTTTGTCCACCCGTCTCTTGATGATTGACCACAAGTTTCCGATAGGATTAAGATCAGGGGAGTTTCCAGGCCATGGACCCAAAATCTCTATGTTTTGTTCCCTGAGCCAGTTAAATATCATCTTTGCTTTATGGCAAGGTGCTCCATGATGGAAAAGGCATTGTTCATCACCAAACTGCTCTTAGACGGTTGGGAGAAGTTGCTCTCAGAGGACATTCTGGTTCCATTCTTTATTCATGGCTGTGTTTTTAGGTCAGACTGTGAGAGAGCCGACTCCCTTGGCTGGGAAGCAACCCCACACATGAATGGTTTCAGGATACTTTACAGTTGGCATGAGACCAGACTGGTGGTAGCGCTCACCTCGTCTTCTCCCAACAAGCTGTTTTCCAGATGTTCCAAACAATCGGAAAGGGGATTGATCAGAGAAAATGACTTTCCCCCAGTCCTCAGCAGTCCACTCCCTGTACCTTTAGCAGAATATCAGTCTGTCCCTGATGGTTTTCCTGGAGAGAAGTGGCTTCTTTGCTGCCCTCCTTTAGACCAGGCATTGCTCCAAGAGTCTCCACCTCACAGTGCGTGCAGATGCACTCACACCTGCCTGCTGCCATTTCTGAGCAAGCTCTGCCCTGCTGGTAGGCCAATCCTGCAGCTGAAACACTTAAGAGACGGCCCTGGTGCTTGCTGGTCTTTCTTGGAGCCTTTTTGGCAACAATGGAACCTCTCTCCTTGAAGTTCTTGATGATGCAATAGATTGTTGACTGAGGTGCAATCTTTCTAGCTGCGATTCTCTTTCCTCTTAGGCTATTTTTGTGCAGTGCAATGATGACTGCATGTGTTTCTTCAGAGATAACCATGGTTCACAGAAGAGAAACAATGATGCCAAGCACCAGCCTCTTTTTAAAGTGTCCAGTGGTGTCGTTCTTACTTAACCATGACAGATTGATCTCCAGCCCTGTCCTCATTACCACCCACACCTGTGTTAATGGAGCAATCACTGAAACAACGTTAGCTGGTCCTTTAAGGCAGGGCTGCAATGACGTTGAGATGTGTTTTGGAGGATAAAGTTAATTTTCTAGGCAAATATTGACTGCAATTAATGTTACGCTGATAACTCTTTATAACATTCTGGAGTATATGCAAATTGCCGTTATAAAAACTGAAGCAGTAGACTTTGTAAATATTAACATTTGAATCATTCTCAAACTTTTTGGCCATGACAGTATATAGAGAAATAAACTGAGGATGAACTCACTGTTACTCCTGTCCACCAGGGAACGCCAAAGTTGACCACGTCAGTGGCCTCACTGGACAATAAGGGCAGGGAGTAGAAAATAACCATCAGGCCGAGCATCACTTGGCTGACCTGAAACCAACCAATGATGAAAACATGATTCACTATGGCTGTATTTATAAAAGAAACAGAAAAAGTACATTTCATAAAAGATTGTCAACTTAAAACTAAAACTGGACTTAAGTGGAGCTACTTTTTTTACTGGGATTTAATTTTGATCTTTTTTGTACGTTTTCGTCTCGTCAAAAAGGGGCGATGACGAAATATTTTCGTCATCGTCATGGTTGACGAAATTAACACTGCCCCACACACACATAGCCCTGCTTGTGCCGCTTTGCTGAACAACTTCTGCTGTTGTTGTTAATGCATTTTAACCCTTTATCATTTTAGCTGAATATATTCATGCTGTTCTAATTGCACTGCTGTTATCATCATACCTGCTGCTATTCCAAACGGACATTATTGAATGTATTAACATCTGGCCTATCTTGGACAATCTCAGAAGCCAGTTAAATGGACTTTTAGGGTTTTATTCTATTTTCTTTTAAACTAGTCACTTAGCCTACCTGGTGTTTATTTTTCTAATAGCGTGTAGTGTTTTGCATATATGTTAGATTTCTGTAATCCTGAATTATTAGAATAAAGTCATCATTGTTTAACTTGTAGTCATTTGTGATTCATATATAAATGATTTATCATATTATCAGGCCAGATCTACCCTGTTTTGGTAATAGTTTGAATAAACAGAGATAAAAAAGGTTATTTGATTGATAATTAATAGCTCTGCTGATAACGTAGCCAAGGTTACTAAATTGGAGATACCAGGATTTTAACAGCCGGTCCTGGAACCATCCAGAGGTGAAAGGCATAAACCTTGGTAAGTAAGCAAATCAGAGCTTCAATTATTCAACTACGAACACTAAATTTATTTCACCTCCGATTTTGAATAAGTTAAATAATTAACTATAACTCCAGTTCTAGTTAATCATTCATTCATTGTCTGCAGGATATCATTTTGCACAATACACTCATTGTGTGATAAGTTAAATGTGAAAGTTTTAGGACCGCTTTTGTGACTAAGTAGGCTTAATAAATCAGATTAAAGTTCTGAGTTGATTCTTCTTCTCATCGAACAACTTTAACTATCATTTTTGGTACTCTGATCCTCTCTTTGCCCTTAGGTGTGAATGAGTGATCCCATGATTGTTCTGTATGCGTCTTTCTGTTTGACCCTGATGAACTGTGGACCTGCCTGTAGTTCCTCTGCAACTACATCTAGATATAAGCACATAAATCACTTCAAAAGGTCAGAACTCTTTTCTGTTATGTTTGTCTTTTTGTATTGCATGTCATCCTCCACTCTTCCCTCAGTATACATGCTAGTTCTTTATCATTGGTCATTGCTGGATCCTCCTGTTACATCTGCCTGTTTCCCTGCCTGGGTTTCATTTCCAATTCTCTTTTTTTTCTCATAAGGCTTCTACTTCTATTGTTGAAATGCATAACTATGCTCATTACATGTTCCTGACAGCATTTTGGGTATTCTCCAACCCAAAACCACGTGGCAATAACAGCTCAACACTTACCTTTATCTATTTTTCTAATTAATGCATTAACACAAAGACAAAAAGAGATGCAGACAGTAAACAAAAAAAATAAAGGCTATGAACTCACCCCCATACATTTGGGATCGCCTCTCTGTATGGTCAGTCGCATCTCCTCTTGTTTGTTACTCAGCCTGACTTTGTTCTCATCTTCCAGCACCTCCACCTTTAAATCCCTGGTGACAGAAACAGCCATCTGCTGATGGCAACAAGGATGTTCTTACACACGGATTCTCTCACTAATCGCACCATGACAAACCTGTTTGGCTCTATCATAGTAAACTGATAAGGCGGCTCATAAGTCGTACTCAATAGCTCTGGGCGCTTTGACATTAACCTCCAACAGCCTAGTTTTTGTAGCTGTTTGTATTCAGGCTACAAGATGGATCAGATACACATAAAGTAAACAAACAAAACAAAAATGAAAACAACCACAGTAGCACAGATCCACAAAAACTTCCTTTGTTTAGAAAAATAAAAAAAAGCTAGTGGCTTTATCTTACAGTGACCAGATATCCCCAATTTCTGGGACAGTCCCCGTTTTGGACCACCTGTCCCTGACTAAAGCTGTCCCCGGAAATGTCCCTGATCTTACCGTTTTATGAATGGTGGGGGGAGAGTTTTGTGTGGACTGTTATTAAGGTTGAAATAGTGCACAAAACAGTACAAACTGTTTCCATGTTTGGCGCAAAAACAGTGATTAGCCAGCTGATTGGAAGCTATTAACGTAAAGATCAGGAGCAGCGCCAGGATTTGGAGGTTCGTTATCAGAGCCAGTCACAGCTGCCCTGTGTTATGGTGAGTGTGTGAAACGGTTCATTTGGTTTGAATTGGGCTGATCATTGTGATAAATGTTTGGTTTGTGCCCAGGTTAATAAAAAAAAAGGCTCTGATCTGTTTTGTTTTACTAAAGCTAAGGACCGGAAATGTAACATAAACCAAGCTAATCAACAAAAAGTCAGACAGATCATTGGCTGCAGCTGCAGGAGGAAATAAAATGAAACAGAATGATTAAAAACTCCTTATAAGGAGCTATTCTGGGTCAGTGGTTCTCCAGTGACTAACAGGGGTTCACCTGAAGATGTTTTAGAACTGATTAGTGACCTTTAGTTTATATCTTCAGATATTTGGTTATTGTAAGTAGAGTTATAAGCTGTTTTGCTGTTTTAAGGTTGTGATTTATGAGCATAGACTTCCAAGCTTAGATCTACTTCTCTACCACTCAGTTTGGATATATCATTATCATCACCATCATTATAAAAAATAAGATATAGTAAAAGGAAAACTGAATGAGACAAGATCTGCATGACCTGAGAATGATGGAGGAAGTATATGTAGTATTTGATCAGGAGAAATAACAATAATCATAATAAACCTAATAATCACAATCACCATAATGATCATAATAATGATATGTATTGTTATTATTATATCTGATTATATAATGGATATATATCGATTATATTTGTTTTGAAGGGATTTTGATTTGACTATGTCCCTGTTTTAGATTAGTGTAAGATTGATGGGAGAGGAAGAAGTTTAGAAGACTAGAAAGAAGACTGAATGAGAGTGGAGAGTGAAAATAGGAACACTGATGGATCAGTGGAAGAGAAGTAAGAAAAATCTACTAGAAGAGGAAAAAAGAGAGCAGGCAGACTGTCAGGAGTCCTGTCTTTGTGTTTTCTGTGTTTGTCTCCCTTCCTCCACCAGGAGGCGCCTGGTTCTGGTCCGCCTCCTCACACACCTGCTGATGGTTTCCTCGTTAACGGTGTTTGCCAGTTTAAGGGTACTCAAGACAAGCTGAGTTTTGCTGAGTCAAACTGAGTTCTAGTCAACCTGAGCTTTAACTTTGTTTTTGTCTTTGCCTCTCGGCAGGAAGTCATCCTGCAAAATAGATTTTTTTCGGACCTTCTCCCCTGGAAGGATCAACAGAGCTTCAAGCTGAGGTGGGGTTACAAACAGGAGGTTTGGACCCACTTTCCCCAAGAGATCATTTGAGCTTCACACTAAGAAAGGGATTCATCTCCACTACGACCCGTTCAAGTACCGCAGGAAATCTGAGTGGCAGTCAGTTTCTCCGTTAACCTACAAACAACTGCATTCTGGGTAAACTCTGTTCCGCCCTCCACCGAATCAGACAAACACTGGAACTACAGCATACAGACTGGAGTAAAAGATTCAACAACTCTTCTGGAAACGTGAGTAAGAAACCAGATCCTCTTCTCCAAGTTCTCGAACTAAACTTCCCACTGAGCCTGAACTAATCGCTGTGTCTTCCTCTCGCTTTTCAGTTCCGGTTGAGCAGTGTTCAGAGCAACACTTCTCTCTGCATTATCTCTTCAATAAAACCTGTTAAACCTTTTCTCCTGGTCTCCCTGTTTGGTCTTCTGCATTTGGGTCTGAACTTTTGTAAAATCATGACGCAGACGACAGGTAGAAAGAAAAGAAGATGAAGAGGGAAGAAGACAGAGAAGACTGAATGACCAGATGGCACTAATAAACACTATCGATTGATTGTTTAATTTTATTAAATTAGGGAATAGGAGAGGCACATTCCTGGATTTTACACTTAATTTTTGTTTACATATTAATAAATATGTTAAAATGAATGAAAGCATCACTGTCCCAGTTTCCTATTTTCATTTTGATTATATATGTATCTATCTCTGTCTACGAGCTGGAAATGTCCCCAGATTGGATTTCAGAAATGTGCTTTATCATTAGAACATGATCTCTATAATGAATACATGTGCGAAAAAAAAGGAAAAAAACAATCTTGTCAGATGAATTGAAAGCAAAAATCTTTTTGGGCGTTCATTTAAGATCTGCTCCTTCTGTGCAAAGAAGTTTGCACTTGTTTCAACATGTGCAAACGCTCTGAAGATCAGAACTTTAGTGTTTCTGAGGAAGCAGCCGGTTACAGTAAAATAGAACAAAGTGTCAGGATGCCTTACAACCCTGAACCAGTTCTGCTAAGAGGAATGGACCGATTGAAGAAGCCTTTTAAAGCTCTAGAATCCACTTTAAAATGCAAATCTGAGTGTAAAAATCCAGCTTTAGTGAAGGAAATTAGCCTTTTACCCCCCAACGTCACACAGCACTTTAACTATAACTAAAAACATAATGTTTGATAAACTTGGTCTATATTTGTCCTGCAGAACTGGAATCGTAAACCAGAGAATATAAAGGCAGAGTAAGTCTGGCCTGTTTGCTCATGGGCACTACAGAACTCTGCTCCGCTGCTTAAAGCTCAGATAATCAAACCAAAGAGCAGATTCCGGAGTTTTTCTTGACATGGATCTTTGCAGCTCTGCTTCAGAAAACCCAGAATGTTGAATATCCTACCTTTCGTTGGAGAAACAGCAGTCAGTGTGACCGGACCCTCCTATGCGCCCCTGCCTTTCAGGCAGCCCTGGATGTGGCTGTTTATCGCTATGGAGATTTATTTTATGGAGAGATATTTGTGCTTTCAGTTTGAGCGTTTGAGGCTGTTTATCGGAAGAGGGGCTGTCTGGCTGTCTGTGAAGAGGCCAGTAAAGCTCCCCCTCCTTCTCTGCCAGCTTCCTGCTTTCCTCACATTATTGTTTTTCCACGGTGAACGGTTCGGTTTGGATCCAGGGTTCCGGGTCGTTTTGGTTCGGTGCGTCACCAGTCCGCAGGTTATAAACCCGCCGTATAGGTATGTATGCGTGATGGTAAAGTGGTTGGTTTTACGCACGATGTTGAGATGAAAAGTGCGAACATGGAGAGCTGCAGCTGCAGGCTTTCCTCACAGCTACAGCCTGTACGGTTGTTTACTGACTGCTCATCTGTCAGACGGTCTGTTTAGTTTTTGCAGTTGCATTTGCTCTGGCTGTTGAAGCGAACCCTCCTAAATGTTCATTTGGAGAAGCTTTCTTTTCTGCAGTCAAGTGTTTGTCCTGCAAAGATGTTCAGTTGGAAATCTACACATTTAAACCTGAGAACAAAAACAGATTGTCTACCTAAATATATGCAAAATATGAAAGTCTAAGTCAATTCTTTCTAAAATAAGTGATTTTTTTCTTGAGTTGAGACACTGCCAATGGAATAAGACAATTTACAGGGGCGTTGCTAGGCACAAAGCTTTACTGGGGCACTGGCCCCCTACTGCGTATGCCCCTCCTTCCATACACTAATACAGACAAGCACACTGCCCCACCCTGATACATTCCTACCAAAATTACTAGTTGAGATATTACTAAGTGTAAGAGCATATTTGTTTTAACAAACATGAACATTTTCAACATTGCAGCTATAAAAAATAAGACATCACCAACTTTGACAAATAAAAAGTTTCCTTATACACATTCTTAAGTAATCATTAATTCCTAGGTTTCAGGGTTTTAGTTCAGGGGAAAGTTTACCTCAACCTGAACTAAGTTTTTCTTTTATTTTTTGAGCATTTAAGTGTACCTCCTATTTTTCATTTTTGCAAAGCGGTCAATCACTTGACTGTGACTCAGCTTAGAAAGTTCTTCCTTTTCAACTGATAAAATAGCAGGATGATGGAGCCTGTCTTGTTCCATTGTGCACCTCAGCCAAGTGTGGATCCTTCTCAACACACTGAATGACCTTTCACAACTCCAGCTGTAGACTGGGATTGTGAGGGAGATCTGGATGAACTGCGTTAGTGTGGCGAACATGATGTTATCAAGCAAGTTGAAAACACACTGCATATCCTTGATGACAAGGCTTTCCTTTTCAACCAGGAAAAGCTCAAACCATTTTGAATTAAATGAACGTTTTTTTACTCCAAATTTGTCCTGGGGATAGTGGGACAACTTCACTTGTTTAGGACCATCATGTTTCCCCCTAAATCACTAATGTCCCCTTCTTGTTTGTGGAAGCTGGTTGTTGCTCCCTCATCACCTTCATGGTCCTGTCTCTCCTGTCTCTTGCCTGTCAGTCTCGCCTCCTCCTCCCTTTCCTACTCCAGCACCTTCATTCTCATTCTCTACAGCAAACATTAAAAACGTAAATCTATAATTATGTAAATATCAATCATATTGCTTATAACGTTCCTAATGTAACTAGTTAGCTTAAATCACTAATTCATCACGGGACCTTACCTCCCTCTCTCCCATCTTGTTTTACTGCTTCCCTGTCTCTGCTTCGTGTGAGGAGTTTCCTGATATCCATCTACAAACCAGTGCAGTAATTTTCAGTTAGTAGCCTATAAATCATGTGGTTTCACTGGGAAAATAATAAAATTGACAGGTAAGAAACGTTACCAGAACTAAAAATGCGTTGCGGCCGCACAGTGTCCCATCCAACTCAGTTGAGAGCAGCGCGTTAATTTACCGGCAGTTCATGCAGTGACATGCGCTGACGTGGGGGCGCTAATACATCCTCAATTTGGAGTTAACAACACACTTGCTGCGCATTTGAGTAGAAATATACGTCTCCTCCTGTTGGAATTATCTAAGTTGATGCATTAAAAAAAATGTAATACTGTTGCAAATATTCATGAGATTTATACTGGGGCACAGCTCATTTATACTGGGGCATGTGCCACAGTAAATGGGGTCTGGCGACGCCGATGACAATTTACATTTAAAATAATAAAGAAACATCTGCAGTCACTTATTTCAAGTGTATAATAATGTTTTTACTTTATTGATCTCACATTGGAGAAATGTACCTCTGCATTTAACCCATCCCCTTGGGGAGCAGTGGGCTGCCATAGTGTGGCCCCTGGGGAGCAATGTGGGTTTAAGGGTCTTTGCTCAGAGATCCGCAGTGGGAGTGGGTTTAAAACTCACAACCTCAGGATTCCAAGCCCTATGTCCTAAGCACTGGGCCGCCACTCCCCTCTAAAATGTACCTTTGCATTTAACCCACCCCCTTGGGGAACAGGAGGAGGTGGTGACCCAGGGATTAGTGCATAGAGCTCAGAATCCTGAGGTTCTGAGTTTGAGCCTCACAGGTTGCCACTCAGGGTCCTTGAGCCAGACCCTTAACCTCACACTGCTCCCCTGAGGATGCACATCAGCTGGCAGCCTTAAAAAAAGAACTATAAAAAAAATTATAATAGTGATAAGATAATGTCTAATTATATTATTTTAATGGTAAAAGTGCTAATTACATTGGCAGATCATTTTATTTTCCTGTACAAATTAAGTGCACTTATTAAAAAAATTGTACTCATTTTCAGAATGCTTCTGTAGTGCACATGTTAAGACCTGATTGATTTTTGGGTTATTGAACACTGCTTGCAAAAATAAATTTCCCCCTCTAAACCCTTAAGTGAAGAAGTTGGAATATTAAGTATGGGATTTAAACATTTTGGATAATCAGAAACTGACAATGGTTCATATTGAATCAGTCATTCCCTTATTTAAAGCTGGGATTCCAGGAATGTCTCTACATCATGGTTCATTTTTCTGGTGAGTCTATTTTTGCAAAATAGCGTAGGAACAGTAAGAAAGGATGGAGGGCACACAGTAACATGACCCCCTACTGTGTTTTACTAAGGGGTTAATGAGGATTTCCTGTCTGTGATCACTTTCAGTTACTGGTGTAAAGTGGATCTGAAACGGTTAACCAAAAACTAACAAAATTCACAAGATTGTGTCTTAGTATTATCATTTATTATATAAAAAAACTTGAAAAATATAGATGTAAAAAAAAAAACAGCATTGTTTATAATTTTTTGGCATGGAAAAAATTGACACTTTTCCAGAGCGTCCACTTCTCTGCACAGCCTTCAGAATGTCTGAACATTAGTAAAGCACAACTCGCCAAGCAGTATGTGGTCCAGGTCAGCCTCCTGACAGCAGATGGATCCATCGCTGTGGGCATTGGTGAACAGCAGCCACACCAGGAAGAATTGCCTGCCCGCTCCACCACCCCAAACACCACTGTCAGAAACCCTACCATAGCATTGTTTAATGGCAACCTGCAGCATACTATCAGTCTGTGCATACGCATTGCCACAATCAAGAGCGGAAGCAAAAGTAAAGGGATTTAGACAACGGAGTATCCTTTCAGTTTCTTCTTTCAAATAAAAAAGTGTTTTAGGGTTGTGGTATTACCTATGTATTCAATTCAGTTTATTTCTATAGCGCCAATCCACAACACATGTCATCTCAAGGCACTTTACAGTTCACCAGATCATCCAGTCAGATTGATTCAAAGTTTTCTAAGAAAAACCAGTTGATTGCATCGACTCATTGACTAGAAGGCAATCCCTCACACCAAGCATGCTTGTATTGACAGTGGAGAGGAAAAACTCAGTACTCCCTTTAACAGAAAGAAACCTCCAGCAGAACCAGGCTCAGTGTGAGCGGCCATCTGCTGAGGCCGACTGGGGTTCAAGGAGACAGAAGCAGAGACACAAATAGAAGCAGAGATACAAAAGGCAACTGTAAAAGGCGGCCCTGTCCAGGAAACACACAGCCAGGCAGACAAGCTCAGAGCCAGAGGATGAAGAGAGCACATCCAGTTAGTCACAGTCAGAGAAACAGGAATACACTGAAAAACAGGCAGATCTTCAACAACTATAAACAAAGTTGTTGATGGCAGCAGTAGAGCTGATATTTCTCTCCAGGATGGAGTCACAGCCAAACAGGAACAGACCAGATGAAGCTACTATGAGAAAAAGCAGAGAGAGCTTCAGGTGAAAGAAACAGTTGAAAGAAACAGTTCAATACCAGACAGCTCGGAGATCCAGGAGTCCGTAGCCAGGAACGGGAACAGACAGATCCAGGGTTCCAGGAATTCTAAGAGTGTTGAGGCAGGATCTGAGTTCTATGATTCCAGCAGCAAGTTCAGACACGCTCAGATGGAGACAGGCAGGCTCAGTGGTTGAGGAACAAGACATGTTACCGGAATTACTGAAGAACTTTAAACTGGTCTCCACCTTGGAGCCAGGCTTATGGGAATTAAAACTGACCTTCCCCGAGCCAAAACCCTGAGGGCTCAGTGGGGAAAAGCAGGGACACGATCAGGAGACAAACAACAAAACACTGGCATCCGGGGACGGGAACATGAACCAGGAAATTAACTAAAACTCATGAAACAAACATGAATAACTGACAGGAAAACATAACACAAACTGAACTAAGAATACACAAATAAACAAAGAGTTCTAAAGAATAATGATCTGGCCCGATAGCTGGGCTGAACAGTATCTATAGCAGAGGGAGCAGGTGGATAAGATGCAGCTACCGGGCCTGAGATCATGACAGTACTGTCTAATTTCTCCCTGATTAGGAACCTCATACTGACTTTGTTTTGTTTTTTTTTCATATTAAGTGGGCTATCATTTCAATTAGAAGTCAACTTATGGAAATAGCTGCTTCAACCTTTTATTCTTTTAATAAACCTGTCATGATGGGTACTCTAAGAGTGACCCAATTATGCAGAACACCACTGACGGACACAGGAATAAAAGTTCAACAAGTTTATTTGGTCACAAGCACACTGATTATACTGGTTCTGGTTCGGGCCTGTATACTGGTTCACCGGAGTCTGCGTGAGAGACAGTTCAGTTAGTGTTGCACGTTGGAGCTTGCTTTCTTGATAGTTACTGATTGTACCTTGAGGGTTCTTGTGGTTAGCTTTGGGAGGGTCACTGTTGGATCTGGAGAGGAGTTGATCAGTAGAGTCCGTTTGCTGCTTCAGCGTCTCACTTCTAGTTTTGAGCAGACCTTGGCTTTGGGTCTTCCAGCTCTTAGTCCTGAGCTGCATGGAAGTTCACTGAGGTTCTTCAGGTTTGGCTCTGAGGGTC